AATAGAAATATAGATTTTCATAGGGCAATCTGGTTCAGTCTTAAAAGTATCATACTAAACCACTAATGCAAAACATCAGCTTTAAAAGAGTGTGGAAACAGAAAGGTATTGTTGTGAAGTTTAAGACTTGCAAGGTATTTATTTACTTAAGACACTGTTTTAATTAAATCATCAATAAGCACATACTGCGTAACTTTCTTCATCACGTTTCAGCCATACCCATAATTGAGAGCACAATCACACACTGCCTCTTACAGTTTCACAGAAGAACTGGTTGTCTGTGCTAAGCTAAAAAAATTTAAAGAACAGAATTGATGTTTCCATTTATTTCTTTAGCAGTCTTTACAGTCGGTAGAATGCTTTCGTGGGGCTAGTTTTATTTGTGAAGTTGAGGGCACAGTGGTTGACTGCCCCCCTTCATTAAGGAACTTGCCCAAATCTACCACAGAGAAGAGACAAGACCTCTTCATTTAGTTTAGACCCAACATTATTTCGGTTTATACCTCACTGTTTCCTCTTTTAGCCATTTATTTTTTCATAAATGTCAACTGTAATTAAATAATACTTTTTCTTTCATTTCATAGTTCTGATGTACAGGAGCATCTACAGCCACTATGTATAAACTATCTCAATAAAGCTATCTGAAAGGAAAATGATGGTGGGTAAATAGTTATGTAACTGAAAAGATCTATCCTCTTATATTAGATACATTTTAGAAAATGACATAATAGTAATATGAAACACTTTCAGTAAAATACTTCATAACTTATTCTACAAAGTTGGCAATAAGGAGATTCATTATATCTAAACAGAATGAAGAGTAATTTACCAAGAACAAAAAGGAAGACAAGGCTTTCTCAGTATGTTAATTAATATTTATTTTTAGTTCTGACACTTCAAGATGGCTGTTTTAATAACCACTACTGCTGATGTTTTTATGTGCAGATGGCGATTTTCAGATGACATTTACTGAAAAGCAGTGCCAATATTCAGTACTAATGTTGTAGAAATGATTCTCTGAAGTTCCACTAAAATTTTTTCTGTATTAATAAAATGTCAAAATGAGAAATATGAACAAAGTTAATGAATGGTTGAGTATTGAAATAACAATCTCCAAAGAGAATAAAATATGAGCAGAATTTAAATAAGAATATTTATTCTTTTTCTTTTGGGCAAGGTTTTTGAGTATTGGAACAACACTCTAAGGAGAGTTATAGAAAAATCTATTTCAAGGTTATCTTTGAAAATTTCTTCAGGAACCTACGAACATGGATCAGAGACTTTACCACAGTTGCTTCAGATCCTTTAATTATCTAATTTTTGTTATTCGAAAGAGAAAGGAAGCATTTATTTAGTGTCTACTATGTGTAAGACATTTCAGTAGTATTAAATTTAACATGTACTTAAAATTTATTTCCTAATAAAGACAATTTTCCACATCAGACCTGCCACTAGAGGGAGTTTATTTTGTTTAATAAATTCAGTTGACTAGAAGAAGCTTCTGGTTAAAATTATGGCACCTATTTTTTCCCAAAATTGTATGGAATTGTATATTTAAATAGCTGTCTTTTCATTAATCTTATAATTATGTTACAATGTATTTTCTTTATAAGTAAAATAAAATGGCTATCAATTAAGGGATCAAAGTTAAATAGACCCAGATAACATTTTTAGCTCAAACAAGAATTTTTCCCATGAGAATGTTGGCATGTTTTAGGTACCATTATTCACAAACCAGTAATTTAACTAAAAAACTCATATTACACTTAATATTAGGTTTAATGACCTCATTCATAAAATCAACATTCACTTTGATTAACTGTGTTATTAAGTTAATAATGTTTTAGTCAGATAAAAATGTTTTATGAACACTTTCACTTCATCATGTAAACGCCAGCACTAATCTTTTCTTTTAGAGTAATTCAGGGTCACTTTAAGGCATTTATACAATCAGAAGCAATGCATGGTGCTCAGGAAAGACATGATAAACATTTATATTACCTGGTAAAACAAAAGGAGTTCTGGTGGCTCAGTGCCTAAGGCACTTGACTGCTAACCAGAAGGCTGTCAGTTCAAACTCACCAGCCACTCCTCGGAAGGAAGACTGGGCAATCTACTTCTGTAGTGATACCGCCTCGGAATAGATCCAACTCCACAGCAGTGAGTTTGGGTTTTTTTTGTTTGGTAAAATAAAATTAGGGTAACTGAGGAAAAATCCTTTATATTGTAATATGTTGTTGCTGTTATGTGCCGTCGAGTTGGACCCGACTCATGGTGACCCCTCCTTGGGTTTCCGAGGCAGTATCACTAGGGAAGTAGATTGCCCCATCTTCCTTAGGAACTAATTAAATAATGTATGCAAAATATTAAGATACTATAAGTACATTTTACATAAATAAAAAGGAAATTTAATGTTAAAGGAGATCGCTAATAAAATATTACCATATTTTTTCACATATAACACTCACTTTCTGTGTTTGTTTTCCACCTGCTCTCCTCTCCATGGTCGTTATTGTTGTAAATGTACCACGCTAAGTTTTTTAAGCAGCAAAAATGTTTACAGAAACCAAAAATGTTAAATTTTGTCATACAAATTAAGGCATTTAATTAAGCAAATAAAAAAAAAAAAGCTACCTAGGTCCTTTTGTAACACACTGATTGAAGCTCAGTATCTTAAAAACCCATCCGTTCGACTGCCAACTTTTCAGATCACACAAATAAAACCCATGGTACCTTTATTACATATTATGATGCTAAGTGTGCAATGAGTAGCTATGGAGAACACTCATTTTAAGTGCCTCCTGATTTTAACTATCAAGAACAAAGCCAAATTAAACAAGAACATTTTTATGAAAGAAACCATTCTACAAAATGCCAAGTACTGTAAATCAATGTTACAGAACTGTCAAGACAGAAAAATTGCTGACTAGGCAATATTCTTAATGTTAGACACAGTGTAGGTAAGACCTGCAAATTTTAATCAGGCTATTTATAGGATGGTTTAATACCCTCTGTGAATGCCAACTCATAAGTTTAGTTTTTGAGGAACTATGGTCACTAGAAATCTGACACTAGTGTAATGAAATTTTTCAATCAGCAACTTTTTAAATATAAATTTTAAAGTATTATTGTTTTTTGGTTTGTACTGGTCAAGTTTTATGCAAATTTGCTCTCATTAGCTCTGAGTAGATGTTTAATGTTTAAAAGTATTTATGAAAATTTGAAAGATGTAGATGATTTAAAGTAACTCAGAAATAAACAAACATATGAAGACAGACAAATCATAAAAGGAAATCTGTGTCAAGTACAGATTTTTTTTTTTTTATGGCAAAATAATGAAAGGATTTTCCATTTCATACAAATATCCCACCGAAACAAAAAAGTCCAAATTTGGAATCATTCTACAAGAATTTTTTGAAATAGAGATGAAAGGAGATCAGAGGAAGATGCTAAGAACGAAAACGTCTCCCTCAGTAAATGCAGCTCCAAATCTTGTACAGATCCTCAAACCACTGAAAATAATGCGAAAGCTTCCCCAAAAGGTAACTGCGAATATAATTTCGTCATTATGTCTGTCCACTGCACTAACTCATACCTGCTTCTATCCCTGTACTACTGAGACAGACACTTCGCACACGACAACATTACTGCCAAATAAGTAAACAAGAACCCAACAGAAAACCAGTTGCTCTGGATCAAAACACACCTTCAGAGGTACTCAGCCCCTTTCTAGACCGCACGTGCTTGGATCTTCAATACATTTCGCCCTACCAAGTTCTCAGTCTCCTCCAAGAATGAGAATTATGACAGTGTTCTAATCTAACCGAAAAGGATATTAAAAGTGTAAGGGGATTTCAGGACAGGCTAATGTTAGCTAATCCACCAGCACCGAGGAGCAGGTCAACAAAACTGTCAACAAATTAGGACCACAGAAAAAAAGAATAGAGCTACAAAGGGGTGGGGATGTGAGGGGCTGCGTCTGCGCTGGTGGTGGGGGAGAGGGGGACAATGTTTAAAATGAAGTAATTGGAAATGGAAACATTGAAATCTTCGGTCTCTTAACCTGCCTCTAAATCTTGATTCCACGGGCTGTATAGGGAATGGACCTAAATCCTCAGGAATCTGAGGACTGAGGGGCGGGGTGGGACCGCCTCCCGTAGCCACCGGCGGGACCCGCACCCGTGCGTCCCGGCGCCCAGCACCACACTAAGGACGCCCCTCTGGACACTCACGTTTTCTGCACCGGTTTCCGCCGCTTGCGACTCGCGTAGGTGATGTTGGCGCTGCTGCTGTTCATGGTGCACGGTGTGCTGCGGCCCGGTCCCAAGAACCCAGCGGCAGCAGGGACGACGGCGATCGAGCAGGCAGCCAGTGCCGGGTTGTGGGAAAAGCCGCGCCCGCTCCACCTGCGCCCTCACTGCGCAGGGGCGAGGGCTCCGCGCCCCCCACGCCTCGATTACCGCAGTCCTGGCCCGTCCAGACACCCCGAGGCCAGGGGTGCTAGTGTTTGGCGCCAGGGGTAGAGGGGCGGAGACCTGCGAGCGAGGCGACGCAGGTGCCGTCTACACCGGCGGAGGCGGCGCAGCGCTGCCCGCAGGTGAGGCAACCAGACAGAGGCGGAGCCGAAGTCGGCTGTTTGGGACCCCAGCCTGGGTCGCGTGAGGTAGTACCGCGCCCCGTTACCGGCGCCGCGGTCCCTTGAGTGAGAGAAGCGCCGCCGCGCTGCTCCTGGGGCTTCCCCGTTCCTGGGTGCTTCCCGCCTGCAGAGCTCGTGCGCCGGCCGCCAGACCTTGGTGCCACCCGCTTCCGCTAAGCTACGCGGCTGCCCTAAATCTGAGCCTGCGTTTCTGGGCACGCTCTCGGGATCAAGCTTCGAGCGGACTCTCCCAACGCCGCCTCCCGCCGCTGCGCGGTGGCAGAATAGCAGAAGCGCCCCCGACCCCGGACGGGCCCCGCCCCACCCAGAATAACCCCGCCCCATCCTGCTTGGCCCCGCCCTTTCATTCCCAATTCCCCTTAGGCCCCCCAGCACGTGATGACGTAGAACGTAACGATGCCCTGAAGTAGCCATCTTCGTGAGGTCAAAAGGAGCAGTCTGTGAACACATAGGGGACACTTGAGGAGGTGGACAGCAAATGATGTGTAGGCATAGTTTTTCTAGCTTGACAGTCTGAAGAATTATTGTTATTGTTAGGTGTCTTCGAGTTGATACACACTCATAAAGACCTTGTGAACAATAGAATGAAACATTGCCTTGCCCTGTGCTATCCTCACAGCCATTTCTATGTTTGAGCCCATTTTGGCTGCCACTGTTTCCATCCATCTCCTTGAAGGTCTTCCTCTTTTTCTCTCACCCTCTACCAAGCATCCTGATAACATGTCCTAAGTATGTGAGACTAAATCGTGCCTCCCTCATTTCTGAGGATCATTCTGGCTGTGATTCTTCCGAGAAAGATTTGTTTTTCTGGCAGTCTGGTCTCAAGAACATGTAGGCCAAATAGCAAATTTAACTTCACATATGGAAAGACAGTGACTGAGCTAACTTTGAGCTAAAAATTACAGTAAACTGGAAGATAATAATAGGACTGTCTAAATTTTCCTAGAAGGGAAGCTTTTGGAGGCCACTTTTGAGTTGAGACTTAAAGGCTACGAATGTCCTTAGCCTTTTCTTTTTTTTTTTAATTTGTTTCTCACACTAGACAGTAAAATGACTTTTCATCAGTCAGAATAACTGTCAAATTTCAATGAAGTCAATGGAAAGAAGGAAATTAGGAAGAAGGTTAGCACACAGGGCAGAAAGTGTTTGAGAATAAGTGACTGGTAGGAGTTCTGGTGGTGTAGTGCCTAAGGCATTTGACTGCTAACCAGAAGGCTGGCAGTTCAAACCCACCAGCCACTCATCGGAAGTAAGGTTAGGCAATCTACTTCCGTAGTGATACCACCTCGGAAACCCAAGGAGGGGTCATTATGAGTCGGATCCTACTCTACGGCGGTACATTCGTATGATTGGAAGGACTTTGGGAGGCTCAAGTGATTTGCAACTGGCTACTAACCTAAAAGGAGCTCTGGTAGCACAGTGGCTAAGGCACTTGACTGCTAACCAGTAGGCTGGCGGTTCAAACCCACCAGCCACTCCTCGGAAGGAAGATTGGGCAATCTACTTCCGTAGTGATACTGCCTCGGAAACCCAAGGAGGGGTCGCTATGAGTCGGGTCTGACTCTACGGCACACAACAACAACAACAACAACAACTAACCTAAAAGTTGGTGATTTGAATTCACTCAGTGGCTCCATCGAAGAAAGGCCTGGGGAACTACTGTAAAGATTACAGCCAAGAAAATTCTATATAGCAGTTCTACTCCATAACACATTAGTTTGCCATGAGTCAGAATTGACATATAGACAATGGGCTTGGTATGTTTGGAGCAAGGGAGAAAGGAGCTGAAGGCAAAGATAATGAACACAGACAAAGAAGTTATTTGATTATCAAGAGCAGAAGTTCATCCATATAAGATGCCCAAATGCTGTCTCACATTAAGATTCATTCATACATTTAAAAATATCTTCAAGTCATTTCTACCTAGGAATCATCTTCAAATTCTTTGCTACCTATATCTAAATCTTCCAACAAATGCTATTGAACTTTGTTCTTTGCAATATCCCTATTCATCTCCTTCCACTTTATTCTCCAGTAACACCCAGCTTAAATGCCACATCATTCAGAATTCCTTAGCTGATTACCATACATTAATTAATTCAGCAGATATTTTTGGGTACCTGCTTTATGCCACTAATGTGCTAGTACTGGGGAGACAATGGGTAATCAAAACAAAAAGGAACTATACTCTCAGGGAATTAGAACATACTAACTGTTATAGATATTGTGATGGAGAAATACATGGTTCTGTGTATATATGACCACATCAAAGAAAATGATAATCTGAGGATGAGTAGAGTTACTTTGGAGAAGAGAAAGGCAATAGCATTCCAGGCAGATGAAATATTGTAGACCAAGTGCCTTTGGTGGGGAAGTGTCTGGCAAGTATGAGGGACTAAAAGACATTTAGTATGAACAGAGAGGGTGTGGTGGTGGTGGTTGTTGTTAGGTGCAATCAAATCGTCTTCGACTCATAGCGACCCTATGAACAGCAGAACGAAACACCGCCTGGTCCCACACCAGCTCCGCAATCCCTGCTATACTGGAGCCCATTGCCACAGCCACTGTGTCGATCCATCTCCCTGAGGGCCTTCCCCTCTTTCGTCGACCCTCCACCTTACCAAGCATGACATCCTTCTCCAGGAAATGGTCCCTTCTGACAACATGACCAAATTAGGTAAGACGAAGTCTGGACTTTCTCGTTTCCAAGGAGCATTCTGGCTACACTTCCTCCAGGACAGATTTGTTAGTTCTTCTAGCAGTCCATGGTACTTTCAGCATTCTTCGCCAGCACCACAACTCAAAAGCATCAATTCTTCTTCGGTCTTCCTTATTCATTGTCCAGCTCTCACATGCATATGAGGTGATTGAAAATATCATGGCTTATGTCAGGCACACCTTAGTCCTCAAGGAGACATCTTTGCTCTTCAGCACTTGAAAGGGATCTTTTGTGGCCAATTTGCCCAGTGATATACATCATGAGGATATGGTAGTTAGGTTATATGTCAATTTGGCTGGACTTGGTTTTGAGTGGCTGGGCAGCTGGATGTAGTTATTCACCAAGGTGAGATTGGTAATCAACTCCATGGTGGAAGGTACTGGACAGCTAAGTAGCTGCCTTAGGGATGTGGTCTGCTTCCAGTATATAAGGAGAAGTTTTGAGCAAGGTCTCTGCAGCTTTTTGACATGCTTGGACCCTGCATGTAGCCAAGTCTTTATTTAGCAGCCTGCCGTGTTTCCTGTCAATCTTGGGACTGTCTCTGGACTTGAACTAGTGGCCTTTCATGTTATTTGGTAATATTGGGACAGTTCTATTCTATTTATCGACCTTTGGCTTGTTAGCCTCAGTGTAAAGAGTGAAGAGACAACTTCACTAGCTCCAGTGGGCTGGGAGAAAAAGGCAGATCTGAAGCCCAAGGTCAAGGGGCTTTCACCCAGCCCCTAGAGCTGGCACTTTGAACTCAGACTTCTAGCTTCCTAAATTGTAAGAAAATAAACTCCTGTTTGTTAAAACCACCCATTTGTTGTATTTCTGTTAGAGCAGCACTAAAGGATTAATACAGAGAGATCAGAGAGATAGGGACACAAACAACTAAATTTGTGTTTCAGAAAGATCCCTATATATGTAATAGTTGTTGTTGTTGTTGTTGTTGTTATGTGCCGTCGAGTCCTTCATTTTGTTCTGCTATGTACATATGCATATGTGTATACATGTATATGTGTATACGTGTGTGTATACTCATATTTTAAAATTACTTTCAATATTTAGAAATCGTATCATGCTGCATTATATTGCATTATCTTAGCAAAATAACGTACCTTTGTATACCCAAGATTAAAACAGAACATAAATAAGAGTTCCATAAATAATTTTAGTTTAATAGTTGTCCCATGCACTTTCACTAAAATTTCAGCTTAATATGCTAAGGAAAATCAGTGTTTGTAGTGTAATTCCCTTGTAAAAAATAAAAACAAAAACTGACCCTTTCTAGAAACTTTCTACTTCTAACATCACCACTGTAGAACATGAATTTGTAGTTTGTGACCATCTACTAAGATAACAAATTTTTCTATAGTAAGTTTTATATGTTGTTGTTGTTGTTATGTGCCGTCGAGTCGGCCCTGACTCATAGCGACCCCTCCTTGGGTTTCCGAGGCAGGCAATATGATTTTTTTTTCTTTAAACAATTAAGTCACTTAGAAGAGTTCATGAATATTTGACTGCCTTATCCAAAGCAAAATCATCCTTTCAATTAGTTTAGGTGAGATGACTTTCTGAGATTTCAGATTCTTTTGTACATATGTAGGTTCCTTTCTCCTGCTAAATGATCTAAGAAAAAGAATAAGTTTTGGAAATGCTATCATTAATACCAACTGTTTAGAATAAGGAAAAATGAATGCTAAACCTGTGACAGAATTGTCACAGGACATTCATTCATTTCAATCAACAAGATGTTTTAGTTCTTATTATGTAGTAAACACCATGAAATACAATAGTGAAATTGGATATGCCCCTACCCTCACAGAATTACATTCTAATAGGAAAGATAAGAATTAATCAAACAATTACATAAACAAAGATATGATTGCAATGGTGATAAGTGCTGTGATATGAATACTCTGAGGATGTACAGTGGGTGCTTTG